TCCTGCTCTAACCACTAGCCCCTCCTCCCCTCCAGGAGCAGACCTCAGGAGTCCTGGCTCTCGGCCCAGCCGCACTAACCACTGGCAGAATAAACTCCGATTCTGCTGGAAACGGAACTCTCTTCCCTCGGCACCGCTCCGTGCCCCCTCCCCATCCCTTCCATGACATAGTGTAGGTCCTACAGTAATGCCTGGCACAGCTGCCCAAGGATCACACAGGTGGTGGGGAGGGCTAGAATGGATGACGGGGACCCACAAACACACACAAGGGTGTGGAGTAGGAGGGGGCTGGGTGCCAGGGCTCCTGGCTTCTCTCCCGGCTCTGGGTGGGGAGCGGGGACTAGTGGTTAGAGCAGGTGGGGGTGTCTGGGAGCCAGGACTCCTGGCTTCTCTCCCGGCTCTGGGTGGGGAGCGGGGACTAGTGGTTAGAGCAGGTGGGGGTGTCTGGGAGCCAGGACTCCTGGCTTCTCTCCCGGCTCTGGGTGGGGAGCGGGGACTAGTGGTTAGAGCAGGTGGGGGTGTCTGGGAGCCAGGACTCCTGGCTTCTCTCCCGGCTCTGGGTGGGGAGCGGGGACTAGTGGTTAGAGCAGGTGGGGGTGTCTGGGAGCCAGGACTCCTGGCTTCTCTCCCGGCTCTGGGTGGGGAGCGGGGACTAGTGGTTAGAGCAGGTGGGGGTGTCTGGGAGCCAGGACTCCTGGCTTCTCTCCCGGCTCTGGGTGGGGAGCGGGGACTAGTGGTTAGAGCAGGTGGGGGTGTCTGGGAGCCAGGACTCCTGGCTTCTCTCCCGGCTCTGGGTGGGGAGCGGGGACTAGTGGTTAGAGCAGGTGGGGGTGTCTGGGAGCCAGGACTCCTGGCTTCTCTCCCGGCTCTGGGTGGGGAGCGGGGACTAGTGGTTAGAGCAGGTGGGGGTGTCTGGGAGCCAGGACTCCTGGCTTCTCTCCCGGCTCTGGGTGGGGAGCGGGGACTAGTGGTTAGAGCAGGTGGGGGTGTCTGGGAGCCAGGACTCCTGGCTTCTCTCCCGGCTCTGGGTGGGGAGCGGGGACTAGTGGTTAGAGCAGGTGGGGGTGTCTGGGAGCCAGGACTCCTGGCTTCTCTCCCGGCTCTGGGTGGGGAGCGGGGACTAGTGGTTAGAGCAGGTGGGGGTGTCTGGGAGCCAGGACTCCTGGCTTCTCTCCCGGCTCTGGGTGGGGAGCGGGGACTAGTGGTTAGAGCAGGTGGGGGTGTCTGGGAGCCAGGACTCCTGGCTTCTCTCCCGGCTCTGGGTGGGGAGCGGGGACTAGTGGTTAGAGCAGGTGGGGGTGTCTGGGAGCCAGGACTCCTGGCTTCTCTCCCGGCTCTGGGTGGGGAGCGGGGACTAGTGGTTAGAGCAGGTGGGGGTGTCTGGGAGCCAGGACTCCTGGCTTCTCTCCCGGCTCTGGGTGGGGAGCGGGGACTAGTGGTTAGAGCAGGTGGGGGTGTCTGGGAGCCAGGACTCCTGGCTTCTCTCCCGGCTCTGGGTGGGGAGCGGGGACTAGTGGTTAGAGCAGGTGGGGGTGTCTGGGAGCCAGGACTCCTGGCTTCTCTCCCGGCTCTGGGTGGGGAGCGGGGACTAGTGGTTAGAGCAGGTGGGGGTGTCTGGGAGCCAGGACTCCTGGCTTCTCTCCCGGCTCTGGGTGGGGAGCGGGGACTAGTGGTTAGAGCAGGTGGGGGTGTCTGGGAGCCAGGACTCCTGGCTTCTCTCCCGGCTCTGGGTGGGGAGCGGGGACTAGTGGTTAGAGCAGGTGGGGGTGTCTGGGAGCCAGGACTCCTGGCTTCTCTCCCGGCTCTGGGTGGGGAGCGGGGACTAGTGGTTAGAGCAGGTGGGGGTGTCTGGGAGCCAGGACTCCTGGCTTCTCTCCCGGCTCTGGGTGGGGAGCGGGGACTAGTGGTTAGAGCAGGTGGGGGTGTCTGGGAGCCAGGACTCCTGGCTTCTCTCCCGGCTCTGGGTGGGGAGCGGGGACTAGTGGTTAGAGCAGGTGGGGGTGTCTGGGAGCCAGGACTCCTGGCTTCTCTCCCGGCTCTGGGTGGGGAGCGGGGACTAGTGGTTAGAGCAGGTGGGGGTGTCTGGGAGCCAGGACTCCTGGCTTCTCTCCCGGCTCTGGGTGGGGAGCGGGGACTAGTGGTTAGAGCAGGTGGGGGTGTCTGGGAGCCAGGACTCCTGGCTTCTCTCCCGGCTCTGGGTGGGGAGCGGGGACTAGTGGTTAGAGCAGGTGGGGGTGTCTGGGAGCCAGGACTCCTGGCTTCTCTCCCGGCTCTGGGTGGGGAGCGGGGACTAGTGGTTAGAGCAGGTGGGGGTGTCTGGGAGCCAGGACTCCTGGCTTCTCTCCCGGCTCTGGGTGGGGAGCGGGGACTAGTCCAAAAGTGGTCGTGTCCTTTAGCATCTAAAGATTTATTAAAAAGAAAGAAAGAACCATACAGAATAAGAAAGAAAGAAAGAAAGAAAGAAAGAAAGAAATTTATGGACTAAGAAAGAAAAGAAGGAAGGAAGGAAGAGAAGAAAAAGAAATGTATGGAATAAGGAAGGAAGAAGGAAGAAAGGCGGAAGGAAGAAGGCAGGCAGGCAGGCAGGCAGGCGGGCGGGCGGGCGCCCGGAGTTAGATTGTTCCCTGCATCCCACTGCACCCCGACCCCGCGTCCCTGCCGGCTCTGAGCCGAGAGGGAGGGAGCG